GAGCGAACAGTTGCTGGTGGGTCTGACCTCTGTTAGCTTGTCCTGCTGGTTGTTAAGCTGTTGCCATTCTTAGTGTGGTGTTTGCTTGTGGTTCTGCTGAGCTGCCTGCTGAAAGCAAACATCTTTTTGTGCAGTTTGAAGGTGATGCTTGATCATTCCATGTGGTGCTCCCCACCACTCACTGCCCCCTCACTCTTGTCAGAAGCAGCAACTTGCCCCCTCATCTCCTCTAGGATTTTGCAGACCTTTCTGTTTACCCTTCATCAATTTACCAAGGGACTATTAAGGGGAGTTATTCCATGTATCTGCCCATCCCCATGGCATTCCTCTGAGTTCTCCAGGTCAGTGCTGTATCTGAAATGATATTTAATGGCCAGGATTGCAGTGTCTGGGAGGTGGGAGCACCCTTCATTCCTGCAGGACTGGAGTGGCTTTTTTTTTTCTGCTCTTTTCCTAGTCTAAAAATGTCTGAGTGTTGGCATTTAGAGTAAGGCTTAGCATGAGCTGGCATTTTCACAGAACCTGCCACAGTAACCAATTCCAGTGGCTTTTCTAAATGGTAATAAGTCATTTAGAGTAATTTTTCTGTGTGTAGTAATTGTCTGCTGGCCTGATTTACAGCAAGTCTGGGGACTCCTCTGACTAAATGGGGCTGTCAGTGGTTTGATTTTCTACATAGAACCAGTTGTTTAGAAAATAGTTGGTGTATGAGCCCAGAGTGTAGGCAGCTTCTCTGGGAGGAGGTACGTGTCATCTGGGCTGCATTTGGAGAAGAGGAGGCTGAGGGGAGAGCTCATTGCTCTCTGCAGCTCCCTGAGAGGAGGTTGTGGTGAGGTGGGTGTTGGGCTCTTCTCCCTGGTGACCAGTGATAGGACAAGAGGAGATGGGGTCAGGTTGCACCAGGGGAAGTTCAGGCAGGATATTAGGAACAATTTCTTCCCAGAAGGAGTGGTGAGGCCTTGGAACAGGCTGCCCAGGGAGGTGGGGGAGGCACCATCCCTGGAGATGTTCATCAAACAGGCAGACGTGGTGTTTCAGGAGATGGTTTAGAGGTTGGGGGTTGTGGGGTGGGTGGTTGGGCTTGATGATCTTGAAGGTCTTTTCCAACCTTGACAATTCTATATTGTGATTTACTAGGGAGGAAATGAGGACAATTAGATCATATCTGAAGTTAGAGGAGGTAAAGCTCACCTGACTAATTACATTTCAGTGCTGCTGACTTCCTTTCCTGGGGAGATATTTTAGTCTCTGACAAAACCCCCAACCAGACTCCATTTCTGTTATAATCAGGCTTGGACTTCATCAGTGCATAAGCTGCTCAGGTAGCATCATCTTTCAAGGCATTGACATCCTACCTGCTGTGCCCACGCTGGTGGCTGGGCTGTGGGAACAGGTTCTGCCTAGCTGGCTACAGTTTAGTGGGGTTTTCTCTCCTAAAATGCTCATAGTTGATGGGGAAACCCTTATTAACACAACCCCTTCCCCAAGCTGTCCTGGATTTTGGGAGTTCCATACAGTAATAAACAATTTGTTTAAAGAATTGCTGTAGCTTGGGAAGCAGATGGGTCTTGGTGGTGCTTTGTGCTTGTAAGAAGGGTTGGTGCATGTTTTGGAGCTCTCAGTTCTATTCCAAAGTCTGTTTTTCTCTTCTCTTGTCCCACAACACCTCTCCTGGATCATGAGAAACCTGTTGGAAGGTGCATGACAAGAAATGTATGACATTTTACAATTTTTTTACTAAGCCAGCAGAAAATCTCCTCCCAGGGCTTATACTTCTTTTTTATAGCATCTATAATATCAAATATATCAGCATTACTTCTGAATTTAACAAAAACTCACTGAGGACTTTATGTTGAGGAGAAGCAGAGCAACCATGAAAGTGAAGTGCATCAGAACCGAGGTGACATTTTCTGCATCAGATCTGCTGATTGTCCCTGTCTCTGTGTTCTGAAGATTTTAATCATGCATCAGTTCTGCTTCCACATGTGCTGTTATCCCCAGAGTATCTTAGCAAGTTGAAACTTTTAACCTTGTCTTTGGGTGGTAACTTTAGAGCAGATCTCAGAGGTGTTTGTACCATGCTTGTGGTTCACCAGCAGGTGATGGTTCAAGAGTTCTTGGGGGACTCATTTCATATGACTTCCATGCCCTTGTTTAAACTCTTTTACCAGCTTCTTCCAAAGATGAAGACCACTGACATTTTGTCTTCATGTAGGTAAAAAGCTTTTGGTTTCTGAGCATCATTTATTCTTCTTGGTTAAATGCTTTACCAGAAAACGAGCACCCGATGGGGTTTCTGAATTCCTCAGCTTTCCTCCTTGTAGGAGTGAGGATCAAAGTAGGTTATGGTTGGACTTGATGATCTTCAGGGTCTTTTCCAACCAGGATGATTCTGTGATTCTGAAGTGCCATTCACTTACTTTCCACTGAGTGCATTGGTTCTTCATCTTTGCATGCAAGATCTTACTGAATAGCTCCAGCTTGTACCATGAGATGATATTTTCCTGGCCTTGCTACTCAAAGACCATAAAAAAGGAAACAAATCACGTGCAATTGGAAAGCCAAGGACAGGCAGCAGCCTGCAGCATAGCTGGGCTTTCTGGGGCCCTGCTCTGCCTTTCTCGAGGCTGCCTACAGGCACTTTGAGACACCCAAACCTTCTGCTTGCTGTGAGCCACCAGCAGCTGGTTGTGACCGGTGATGAAGGATTCCCTGCTCCCACTGCAGGATGAAACTGGTGCTCCTGTTGGCACTTCAGGAATTGGCTGTTTTTCCCATGAAGTTGCCTGGTTGGTTTCTGGGGGTTTCCCCCTCTGAAGAGTTGAGGGAGGTGCTGAATGTGGTGTGTCCAGAGATGTGGAGAGTGATGAGAAGATGAAGGGTCAGCACAGGTTCCTGACACTGCCTGTCTGTAAAGCTCCAGCCCTGGGGCTGCTCTGGAAGCACTGCAGTTCCTCACCAGTTCTGGGGCTTCCTCCTGGCCCATCACCCAAAGCAGGAGTGTCACCTGCTCAGACACAAGGAGTCAGTGAGTGCAGTGACACTTTGGGACAAATAAACAAATGCTGCAAAGATGCATCTAAGATGCATCTAAGATCATCTAAGATGTATCATCTTCATCGAAGATGTTTTAAGTTTAGACAGGTTTTCATCCTATGGCAAAGGAATGCAAAGCACTTGGGAAGTTAATCCTGACTGCTCTATGGAGATGGTTTTTAGGGACTGGTTTTTGAACAGAGTTTTGTATCACAAAGTCAAAATCTAGAACTTTACTCTTTGCCTCTGAGCACCAGGTAAACTACTGTAGAGGCAACAAGGAAGATGCTTGGCCAGGCAGGCCAGTCCTCAGGCCCTGGGCTCTGTGTGGACTGACTTGGAAAAGGGACTGATCCCAGCAGCTCATCCCAGCAGCTCCTTCCACCAGGCAACATTTATCTGTGTCTGGACGTGGTTGTGGTTCAATTCCAATAGCACTGAAGTTGCAGCTGCAAAACAAACTAACGAAGATTGATTTTTATTGGCAGTTGGAGTTTCCCAGTCATTGCTCTATTATTCCCAGTCCTTGCTCTGTTATGGCTCAGGCCACCTTGGTATTGGTGTGTGCAGTGCTGGTTTGAACTCCAGACATGATTCTGCCCTTTCCACAACCACACTGACAGTGGGAACTTGGGGCAACCTCTGGTCTCCATGTATGAGCTGGGAAACCATTGGAACTGGCCGTGCAGTGGCAGGGAATTCCCAATGCCCACTGGGTTCCTAAAGACAGGCTGTTCCCCTGAAAATTCCTCTGGAATTCAGCTCTTGGGAGTGGGGGTTTGCTCATGGTTTTCAATTTTCATGAGGATTCAGCTATTTGTGGTGATGTTAGAGGGATAGGTAAGGTAGGAGAGCTGTGGATCTCCTGTGGACCACCCTGGTGGTGATGTTACTTAGAGCTCTGACAGATTTAATTCAATTTAGTTCTGGGTCCAGTCCTGTCAATATACTCATTAATTACCTGGATGAAGGGACAGAATTTGCTGATGATACAAACCTGGGTGGATTGGCTGATGTGCCAGAGGGCTGTGCTGCCATCCAGAATAACCTGGACAGGTTGGAGAGCTGGGTGGGAAGAAACCTAATGAAGTTCTACAAGGGCAAGGGTAGAGTGCTGCATCTGGGGAGGAACAGCCCCATGGATCAGCACAGGTTGGGGGCTGACCTGATGCAGCAGATCTGGGGAAAAAGACCTGGGAGTCCTGGTAGCCAGCAGGCTGACCAGGAGCCAGCAATGTGCCCTTGTGGCCAAGAAGGCCAATGCCATCCTGGGGGCATCAAGAAGAGCGTGGCCAGCAGGTCAGGGAGGTTCTCCTGCCCCTCTGCTCTGCCCTGGGGAGGCCCCACCTGGAGAACTGGGCCCAGTTCTGGGCTGCCCAGTTGCAGAAGGACAAGGAGCTGCTGGAGAGAGTCCAGCCCAGGGCACTGAGATGCTGAGGGGGCTGGAGCATCTGCCTGTGAGGAAAGGCTGGGAGAGCTGGGGCTGTTGAGCCTGGAGAGGAGGAGGCTGAGGGGGGATCTGCTCAGTGCTGATCAATATCTGCAGGGGGTGGCAGGATGATGGGGCCAGACTCTTCCCAGTGGTGCCCAGGGACAGGACAAGGGGCAATGGGCACCAACTGGAGCTCAGGAGGGTCAAGCTGAAGATGAGGAGAAACGTCTTTGCTGTGAGGGTGGCAGAGCCCTGGGACAGGCTGCCCAGGGAGGTGGTGGAGTCTCCATCCCTGGAGACATTCCCAGCCCTCCTGGACGTGTTCCTGTGGGATCTGCTCTGGGGGATCCTGCTCTGGCAGGGGTTGGATGGATGATCTCCAGAGGTCCCTTCCAACCCCACCACTCCGTGATTCTGTAATTTTATTTTACAGGGCCATTTTCTGGTTTCCATTGGTACTCAGCTGAAGCTTCCCAAGGCTGGTTCCCCTTTTGTTTTTCCCTTCTTGACACTTGTTCCATTGTCTGGGCAGGGCCGCAAGCTTCTCATCATTGGAACCACCAGTCGCAAAGATGTTCTGCAGGAGATGGAGATGCTCAATGCTTTCAGCACCACGATTCATGTGCCCAACATTGCAACAGGGGAGCAGCTGATGGAGGCTTTGGAGGTGAGAAAAAAGTTCAAGGATGACAAACAAGCTTAGAATTGGCTGTAAATGGGGGATTTTGCAGTAGCTCAGTGTTTGTGAACTGTCTTACCTGACATTATGTCGTAATATATCAGTTCTAAGGCCTCTCTGAATTACTTTTTCATACATTTATTGTATGATATAAGGCAAAATGAAAGAGCAGGGATAAAGTTTGTGGAGTGGAAATATTCTGAGGGCATGAAAGTGGGCAATGAATATAATCAGGGCACTTAAACTGAATATACCAGGAGGGTGCCAAACTCTGGGTAACTGGAACAACATCAAATGAAGGTGTTTGGTGCTGAAGAGATTATATGTTCTTTATAAATTTGTGCCCTTAATGGCTTTTTCTTCTATGTCACAGTGAATATTGAAGGCTGTTGAAATAAACTTAACAGGCAAATCTTTTGTGCAAACTTGGAAAATTGTCACAGTGGTAATGTCATCAAATCCTGACAGACACAGGAGCTCTTGCAGCAATTGTGAAAACTTCATGGCTTGAGGCACTGTCTTCTTCTAGACTCTAATCTGTAGAAAACTAGAATGGATCATAAAAAGCCAATCACTGACTGTTCTATTAGAGATGTTATGAAATGACCCTTATGGAATAAAAGAATCTATGTGTTTTGCCTTGCCTACATATATTGCAACAATTTTTTCTTCTATGCTTTCTAGCTTCTCATTCCTTTTTTCCTGACTTTGGTGCCATTTTTCCTACTGATGGTCTCCTGTTGTTGATTTTTGTTTGTTTCTCCCCCCCCCCAGCTCCTGGGTAACTTCAAAGACAAGGAACGCAGCACCATTGCACAGAATGTCAAAGGGAAACCTGTCTGGATTGGTATCAAGAAGCTGCTGATGCTGATAGAAATGTCATTACAAGTAAGAATGTTTCTGGTCTGGGAAGGGCTGAGGTAAATGGAACAGGCTCAGAGGTTCCCTCTTCTCAGTCTCGTATTTGAGCTGTGTGGTGGAGCCATTGAATTGGGTTCATTGGGAAAAGAGCTGCAGTGAGTACAAGATTTGGAATCATGGAATCACTTAGGTTGGAAAAGATCTTTAAGATCATCGAGTCCAACCATCAACCCCACTCTCCCAAGTCCAGCACTGAGCCATGTCCCTAAGTGCCACATCTAGACACCTTTTAAGCACATCCAGGAATGGTGACTCAACCACCTCCCTAGCCAGCCTGACAACCCTTTCAGTGAAAAAGTTCTTCCTAATGTTCAGTCTAAACCTCCCCTGGTGCAGGCTGAGGCCGTTTCCTCTTGTTCTATAACCAGTTACTTGTGAGAAGAGACCAGCACCCACCTCTTTACAACATCCTTTCAGGGAGCTGCAGAGGGTGATGAGGTCTCCCCTCAGCCTCCTGTTCTTCAGACCAAACAGCCCCAGCTCCCTCAGCTGCTCCTCATAAGATTTCTGAACAAAGAAATTGCCAGGTCTTGGTCTGTGGAGAGATCTTTAGAACCCAAAGTGCCAATAGGCTGTGTGGAGCTGCACTGCAGGGAAGAGCATCTGGCAACAGGAGGGATTGGATTCACTTACCTTTGGTGAAACTTCTTCTCCACACCCAGCCTGTCAGGGCTGCAGTCACTTAGCATTTATCTTTATATATATTTTTTCTTTTTTTCTTTAAGAAAAAGCAGCCTGTGCATGTAAAAAACTTTCCCTTGAGAAGATAAATCTGTCAGGCTGTTCAGCTGCTCTTCTGTTGATTTTTCCACTTCCAGCACTTTCAAGACAAGAATTGCAGAGGGTAGAAATCTGCAGCAGTTTCTCAGGCCCCCCAGCCAGCAGCCCTGCCTGCAGCCAGGCTGGTGCTCCCCAGGGGCTGCCTGCTGGAAAGCAGAGGGTGCAGCCCTAATCCTCCCCCCTGACACTTCAAGCCCCTTCCCCCTCACACTCTCTCTCTTCACATCAAGTGGATTTAGTGCAGCTGAGTGAACTGTCCTTAGATCTTCCTAGGAGAGGCTGAGCACAAGCTAAGAGGCATGTGGCTCAGCAGCAATAAGTCATGGATCCCCCTGTTCACTATGCACAATTCTGTTCCAACTTGCACAGCACTGGGGATACACTCTGACTGGATGTCACCTCAGGGAATAAAGTCATTCATCTCGATGCCTTTTTCCTCTTCTTCCTTGGCTTTTAATTCCACACCTACAGGCAAGTCAGTCAGTTATTGCTTACATGTATTAAATGTGTTTAAGGGGTGCAGGTCTCCAGGACCTGCTGGGCTCTGCTGCAGTCCCTTTCACTCTGCCTTGACATTGGATTCCTGCTCCTGACACAGAACATTTTCTTTTGCTGCTTTGACCTTAAGTGTTGGTTCTTTTCAAGACTCAAGGTGTGTAAATGATGGGCTGTTCTCAGTCTGGAGCAGGGGTGGAACTGCTGGGTGTTCACAGCCTGGGCCCATGGCTGCACACCTACCCTGCTGGGGGCAGGGGGTCTCCATGCTGCCCTGGACTGTGCAGACGGGGAAACTGGTCTTGTGCATTATTTTTTTTAACAAGACCACCATTTTAGAGATGAGTCCATGACCAGGCAGGCTGGGAGAAGACAGGCAGAGCTGTGGCAGAGGGCTATGAGGATGATGGAGTGGAACATCTATCATACAAGAGAAGACTGAGAGATCTGGAGCTGTTCAGTCTGGAGAGAAGACTAAGAGGGGACCTTATTAATTTCTATAAGTATCTGAAGGGAGGTGTCAGTATTGGGCCAGTCTCTGTTCAGTGGTGCCTGTGATAGGATGAGGGGAAACAGCACCAAGTAACAACCCAGGAAGTTCCACCTCAACATGAGGAAGAACTTCTTTCCTGTGAGGGTGACAGAGCCCTGGGACAGGCTGCTCAGAGAGGCTGTGGAGTCTCCTTCTCTGGAGACTTTCAAGACCCCTTTGGGCACGTTCCTGTGTGACCTGCCTGGGGTGTTCCTGCTGCAGCAGGGGGGTTGGACTTGGTGATCTTCAGAGGTCCCTTCCAACCCCTTTGATTCTATGATTCTATGTTTCTGTGATTTCTGCCACAGTGAAGAAGTGTGAGATGAAGGGCTGCCACTATTGACAGAGCTGCTTGGTGATCCACCTGGGCTGGCAGCAGCATGATAAGTCACTTAATTCAGGTAGTTGTGTGACAGCATGAGGCAGTTATATATGAACAAGTCCTGTTCCAGAAGGTCTGAAGTGTTTACATGATCCATCTGCTGAACTGCTATAAATCCAGGGAAGCAATGCAGGCCCTCACTGAGCAGAACACTCATACCCAAATACTATAGTGATATATCCTGTGAGATAGTTTAACTCACAGGAAAGCAGGATCTCACCAAATTACAAGCCCAAGACTAGTTCCTTTTTTTTTCTGAGCTGGACCACAGCTTTTTAGAAGGGGATTTGAATCTGAAATTCCATCAAGACTCAAGTGGTGGATGGAGATTCTCAAAAGTCAGCTGATTAGATCCCATGGTGAATGAATTCTTCACAAAGAACATGCACCTGGTTTGTTTCTCTGCAGTCACTGAATCTAATTGTTGGATTTGTTGTGGTGTCTTTTACTAGACCAGTAACCCAGCGTTTGCTGCCTGTAGGGATTTTTCAGCTGTTCACATGACTCTTGTTTCCAACTAAAGTCTTGGTGAACCAGTCTCTCAACAACAAAGTCCTTTCTTGGAGCACTGTGAACCTCTGCATTGCTCTGCTATCTTCAGTTCCTTTGCTTCCTTCTTTACAAGCTTTCTAAACCCACACTTTTTGGCAGGTTCATTTCCCTCAAACTATGTTTATTACTGTTCCTGACCTTCTTTCATGTCCAACTACTGGGATTTACTGTCACATTCTTTGGTCACCTATACACCGAGTGTCCCAGAATGATGTTGTGTTCCTGTTCAAAAGAAGCCTTTGATGAATGGACACACTCATCTGCCACATGAATCCACAAGAGCTCAGTTGAGTGGTCCCTGTGGCTGCTGGGTGTGGAGCAGCTCTCAGAGCTGTCAGGGGTCACACTGGCTGCACCTGCCCTGACCCTGTGGCCCTGCCTGGGCTGCTGGCTGCAGGAACCTTCTCTGCATAGCTCAGGGACCAGTTCCTCCTGCTGCCCTTGCCTGCCTGGCTTGTTGCTCTTGGACCTTGCTGGCAACACTCCAGAAACCAAAGGCTCTCTCCTCTTGGAGCAGGAACCTGACTGAGCCAGGCAGCTTTCCAGAAAGTCCTTTTTTGCACCTCCAGCATTTCCTGATTTGGTAACTTCTGCTTAGCATAAATAAAACTTGAGTGAATCTAAGCTGTTTGCATGGAATGTATTTCAGCCTACACAGGAACTTGTTTTGAAAGGTCCTCACATCAAATTGCCTGGTTTATTTTAAACTTAACACTATCTGGCCATAGGAAGAGTTTGGATTTTGACATGTTTACAGAGTACTGCACTACCCAAGGGCATAGATATCTTGCTGGAATAGCTGCTTTTCTTTGGGCTAAGGATTAATGAAGACTCTTCCATTGCCTTTTTCCCAGAGGATTCCCAGGCATGTCCTGGGAGCACTGCAATACCTGGAAAGAAGCAGCCATTGTCTTGCCAGTGCTCCAGTTGGTCTCTGTGCTGTTCTAGAGAACTTTCCACCCCCTTGGACAGCAGCTTTTCTCCTTCCACAGGACACTAGAGAGTCCTGCACCTGCTGTCCCTTTGCTCTTTAGTGACACCATCTTGTGCTCCTTCCAGGGCAGGTCAACCTTCTGGTTTTGTTTCTGCAGTTTTGATCAAGTTTGCCTCTTTGCTGCCTTTCAGCTTCTTGCTTTAGTCTTTTGGGCAGATGTTGTGTCTTCAGATTCTGGTCCTCCCAAAGAGTCTGTGGAAGCTCTGTCAGTGCAGGTTATGGGTGGAGGGTCTTCCATGGCCACTTTCTTGTGTCTGAAAGAAGAGGAGTGGGGAGGCAACATCTTGATTTGGGAACAGAACATTGGCCTTGGCAAGTTTGAATTTTGGCTGGTGGCATGAGTATGAATTTTCTAGGAATGAAAATAAGTTAAATGTTTGTGGATCTGCATCTCAGATTGTGTGGGGTTACTTTAACAGAACTATCTGACTGGTCCTTTGTTATTTCCTGATGGTGATGACTTTTCCATGCATTTCTAAACTTTCACCAAGGTCCTGGCAACAGGACAGTCCTCTTGGTCCCTGTGTCAGTCAATGAGATCCATAATCTTGGAAGAAGCAAGGTCCTTTGTTCTGTGTGATGTTCTCTTCCTGTCAGCTGATGGCCAGAAGCCATGCCTGGCTCCATCTTCATGGTTTCTCAGGTCAGTCTGAGGTGTGGGATCTTCTCTTTACTGACTAAATCACCTGGTTCTGTAGCCTCTTCCTCACCCACTCTTTGGTGCAACAGCCTGATGGGATTGGCAGTCCTGGCTGTGCTGATATGGACGTTGCCTTTGGCCCTCAGTGGTGCCTCTGCAGGGAGTGTGGGTGCTGAGGTGCTGAGCAGTTGCTCCCCTAACCACCCAGCTGCCTTCCACTGCTCTGTCTGATTTGCAGAATAATTGAGATCTTAGAATCACAGAACCATTCTTGTTGGAAAGGAGCTCAGGATGTCACCTCATCCAGTTCAGACCCTCAGTAGGCTTATGGGATGACAGCAGACTTCTTACCACCCTCTTTGACATCAACCTTTGATGGGAATCAGGCCTGTCCAGCTCTGGTAGGAATGGGTGAAGTCTGGGGTTGGGACCGTTGCCAGCAAAGTCCACTTTCTGGCAGTTCATTTATCCAACTCTTCTACCTTTGTCGTAGATAATCTGTTAGTTTGGACCATAGATGAGGAGTGAAAACTGAGGTCTTGGTGAGCTTGAGTAATGTGAGTTACTTGAGTAACTCCTGAAGAAATCCTTTCAGGAGTAGACATCTGAACTGCCAGTATCTACAGAAATGTTGTGTCATATCTGAGAAGTCCAGGGATCCCTCTCAGATGTTCAGACCAGGACAACTTTTTTACTCATGGGCAAAGATCAAATGTGTTTTGTCCTTTTCCTCAAATCCCTTCCTTTTATGGCCCATCTGAAGCTTGTTGGGTGTGCACTGGTACTTCTTTTTGCTTTAGTGGCAGCTCTGGTTCCTGGGTTTGCTTTGGCTGTGCAAGTGACTTGAGTTTGAGATTTCAGCCACTTTTTGAACCTCCTGTCCAGCACTTGGAAGTGAGCACTTCACCTAATTCCCCATGCTGGTGGGATCTGATTCTCTGGCTGGACTGTTTGTGACCTTCTCTTTGGGTGGATGCTGTGGAGAGCAGGAAGGTCCCAACCAGGTACACTTTGCTAATTGCACCCATGGCATTTTTGTCATCTTTGTCCAGACCAGCCCCCTCCTCTGACCAAGCAGGATCAGCTAGAACAGGTGGCTCAGGGCCATATCTGCTTGGGTCTTGAATATCTCCAAGGATGGAGACTCCTTGGCCTCACTGGACAGTCCCTGACAGTGTGTAATCACCCTCACACTGACACAGTTTGTGCCCATGGCTCCTGTCCTGTCGATGGGCACCACTCCCAGGAGTGTCCCTCTCTGCTTTAGTCCCTCCCATCAGGTGTTTCTAGACACTGGGAAGAGTCACCCTTCCCTCCCCAGTCCTGAGTCTTCTCTACTGCAGACTGAACAGTCTTGCCTTTCACTACCTGTCTTTGCATGACAGATGCTCAAGACCCTTAATCATCTTTGTGACTCATTGCTGGAGTCTGTCTCAGATGTCCCTGCCCCTTTTGTCCTCCAAGCTTGGTGTCACTATTGCTGAGAAGAAGGGAAGTATCATCTCCCTCAGTCTAGTAGCTCTGATCCCCCTAATGAAGCCCAGGATCCTGTTGGCCAACTTTGCTCTGAGGGCCCATTGCTGGTTCATGTTAATCTTGTCCTCCAGGAGGCTCAGGAGCTTTTATGCAAAGTCACTTTCCAGCCAGGTGTCCCCAGGTCTGCACTGGTGCAGAGAGTTGTTCCTGCCCAGGTGTAGGACTTTGCATTTCTGGTTGTTGAACTGCATGAGATTTGTGTCTGGCTGTACCACCACCCAGCTGAGGTCTCTCTGAAGGACACCACCATCATCAGGCACAGCTATCTCACCTCCCAGTGTCATCTGCAAACCTGCTGAGAGTGCAGTGTCCCCAGGGCCTGTTTCTTAAAGAGGCTGAGCAATATTGGCTCCCATATGGATGCTTGGTCTATCCTGCTAGTGATATCCAGCTGCTGGCCCCAGCTGGGCTTTATGTCACTGATCCCAACCCAGGAGCCCAGCAGTTGAACTGGTTTTCAGTCCATTGTGCTCTCCCACTTACTTAGTTTGCACTGGTCAGTCATTGACACTTTGTGTGGTCAGACCTTTTAAAGTACCAGTAATTATGGAAACATCCAGAAACAGGAAGAGAGGTAGTTGATCATCTTTGTGGCCTCCTCTGGACTCATCTTCAGTCCCTTCTCCTATGGACTGTCTTCATTTGCTGCTCCAGCTCTGGAAAGGGGGGATGAAGCAGACTCAGAGTGGGCCTGGCTTGTGCAGGGCTGGCAGTGTGGGATGCAGCTGGTGAGCAGGTTGCCATCAAAACACAAGAGCCTGGTAGAAATGCTCATGTCTGCTTCCAGCCTGGCCCAGCTTGTAGCTCTCTGAGCACACGGGGTGTCCTGGTTTGAACCAGGATGAAGCCAATTTTCCTTGTCCTGTGTGGGTTTCAATGTGGGTCTGCACTGCTTTGCTGAGGAACTTCTGGATAAGAGACTGATCTCTGGCCAGGCCAATGGCAAAGCAAACACAGTCACACACCTCCAGCTGCACCTTTGTGGTCTCATTGTCCTGTTGTGCTACTTGGGAGGTTGCATCACATTAATGGAGATCTGGTTTGTTTGCTGTTTAGATGGATCCTGAGTATCGGGTGAAAAAGTTCTTGGCTCTTTTGAGAGAAGAAGGAACGTAAGTACTTTTATTTTAAAGCATTGTTTAAAATTCTCATCTGCTCAGTAACCTGCACTTTGAGGGGAACCTGCACTGTGGTGTGTGACCTCCTTGTTGGCCCTTGCTGTGTTTACAGAACTGTGGGTCAGATCAGGTCTCCCTGCAGCTGTGCCAGTTGTTCTGGGAGGGGGGAGGTCCTGGAGGCTCCTTGTGAACCTGCATGTCTGAATTCTCTGCTCTTAATTTACCCAGGACTTCAAAATCTCAGATATTGGATCACAGTTCAGCTTTCTGTAATCTAAGTAAATCAGAAGAGGTTTCTGCTAGAGTTAAAATCCAGCTGTTTAGCTAAAATCTGGAACTTTGGTTTCTTGTATTTCTCCTGTCTGAGAGAAGGATGTCCTGCTCTTTCCCCTGTAGGTGTCACAGGGAATAGTTCAGCCCAATCTGGCCAGTGACAACTCCTAGAAAATGACTTTCTAATGCATGTAGGGCAGTACCTGTGCTGAGGGAACTCACACCAGTGTCTATCCTGGCTACATGTGAGTGGGTTCCAGTGTGTGCTTGATGCTTTTATACATGTGCTTGCTTTCTTGATGGATTTGGCTTCTTTTGCAAGAGTTCCTCCCCTAGACTGAAGGTGGACCAAGTGCAAGATCAACAGCTGGAAAAGAGACCAACCTGGAGAATAGACACTGGGATCTTTGCTCTTCTGTGTTCAAAACACTGGACAAAGTGAAATTCTCCTGTTTCCAAGAACCTGATGTGGAATCTGCATGTTTAGTGCAATACACTATCTTTATTCTTTGTCTTTAATATCCTCCTGTCATGTGGAAGTGTCTCCTACCACACTGTGCTTCTGGCTGTGTGCAGACCAGGCTGTCTTCTCATTTGGCTGTAGCATGGGGGAATGTCCTGTAAGTTTTGAAGCTCATGCTCACTTGTGTCCAGCATCCAGCTGCTCTGATAGGAAAGAAATCCTGATTTCCACCCAACCCTGTCAGTCTGTGGGGAGGACACACTGAAGTGCTGCTCTGTGTCACCCTCAGGACACCTTCCTTGTGATGTCTATGCCTCATCCACCGCGGAGCCAGGCTCATGGCCTCAAGACAGTGGCCACTCTAATTCAACCCCAGAACTGCCCAGATGCTAAAACCTGCTCTCTTACACCCAGGTGCTTTGTGGCCCCAGGAGATCCTGGCTAGTGGCAGTAGGGACTGGAAGAAGGCAGGGAAGTATTTTGATCAGAGCAGAGGGAACTTCCAAAGCCAGTATTTAAGGCATCAAAGCTGCTTGTTCATTGACCAACAGTTTTAGAGATGCAGATCCCAGCCTGAAAGCTCTTCCCATGTGCAGTGTAGGTGGCAGCTTGGAATGAGCCACCCTCACGGTGTCCTGTTTTTCTGCCATGTTACCAAAGGTTGAAATTCCTCCTTAGAGACAGAGAGGAGGCCAAGCTGCAGCTGCAGGAGATGAGTGTTGCCATGTTTTTGCACTGAAATAAAGGAATGTATCAAACTTTTTTCCCCAGCAATCATCTCAGCTCCATGAGATGCTGTTGCCCGTGACTGCACGAGGCTCCTCCCTCTGTTTCCTTGGCTCCACACGTTTAATAAGGTTCATGGAACATACCTCAGTTTGGTGGGGCGTGAAATCAAAGCCATTTAGGAGATCTTAGTGGAGCTTCCTCAACTTGACCAGGCACGCTGCTCAGGGCAGGCAGCTGCTATTCCCAGGAAGGAGGCTCCTGCACAGCCTGCCAGGCCCAGAGGTGAAGCTCCCGTGGCCCTGAGGGTGTCCCTACAGCAGCAGCAGGAGTTCAGTCACTCCACTCTGGTTTCTTCTCCTTTGGCAGTGCTGTTGTGTTGTGGTGACGTTGCAAATCTCAGTGATTCTTATTCCCTCTCATTTTGTGTATGATCTTGTGACTTTGTTTGTTCCTTTCCTCTGCTGGTCACAGTGACAGCAGCACAAATTAACTTATATTTCAGAGTAAATGATGTGAACCTTATTGTGTCTTTGTCCAGAACTATATTGATGAATAAATATCTGGTTTAATTGCACATTCAGTGGATTCAATAAAAAGCACAACTACTTGTGATCATCTGGGACACCTGTGTCTTTGGTGCTGGTGGGACAGAGGTGTGTGCATCTAGTGGTGATGTGTGGCATGAAGGTAGCAAAGCTGTTCCCAGGCTGCTGGTGGCCAGAAGGATGCACAGTGTGTACCTGAGCATGGATGAATTCAACACATCCCCAGCCTGGTTAGGTCCACCACAGGTAATCTGGTGAGACCCCACCTGGAACACTCTGTCCAGCTCTGGAGTCCTTGGCACAAGAAAGACATTGGAGAGAGTCCAGAGGAGCCACAGAGATGACCCAAGAGCTGGAGCGGCTCTGCTCTGGAGACAGGCTGGGGGAGTTGGGGGGTTCAGCCTGGAGAAGAGACCTTAGAGCACCTTCCAGTGCCTGAAGGGGCCTATAATCAACCCAGGGACAAACTTTTTAGTGGGGTCTGTAGTGACAGGACAATGGGTGATGGTTTGACACTGAACAAGGGAAGATTCAGACTAGACATTAGGAAGAAAATGTTTACAATGAGGATGGTGAGACACTGGAACAGGTTGCCCAGAGAGGTGGTAGATTCCCCATCTCTGGGGCCATTCAAAGGTTGGATGGAGCTGTGAGCTACCTGGTCTACTTGAAGATGTCCCTGATCACTGCAGGAGGTTGGACTGCATGACCTTCAAAGGCCCCTTCCTACCTGAACAATTCTGTGAGTTGGCCAAGAAGACGACCTCTGGTCCAGCCCTTTCTAGAGTTTTCTGGACCTTGCAGTGCTGATAAAGCCCCAAGACATTCACGTGTGTGTGAGTTGGGTGCATCACACTTGAAGATGGCCATGTAGGAAACCAAGGCCAAACTGTTGGGTGTGAGATGCCCCCCCATTCGAACCTTTTCTGAGGTCTTCATCCAAGATGTTTCCTGCAGGTGACAGAAGAGGATGACTCCTGACACCCCCTTCCCATTTTCTCTCCAAAACACGGCCTGGGCAGGAGTGGCTTTGTGATGGGAGCTACAAGGCTTTGAAGAGTAAGGGCCAAATTCTTCATCCCCTTCCTTGCCCTGTTGCTCCTTTAATCCAGAAATGCAACTGTCTCTAAAATTGAGTTGTTAACCAAAGACAAATATACTTGAAAGTGCTGGGATTTGGGGGGATGGTGGAGAAAGGCTTGGAATGATGGGCAGAGATAATAATAGAATCACAGAATAGGCTGGGTTGGAAGGGACCTTCAAGATCATCTAAGGGGCAGGGACACCTCCCACCAGCCCAGGTTGCTCCAAGCCCCATCCAACCTGCCCTTCAACACTGCCAGGGATGGGGCAGCCACAGCTTCTCTGGCCATTAAGCCATTAAGTTCACAGTCCTGGACTTTCTGGTTATCTGGATTGGTATCACAACATCTTTGGTGTTCCTGGAGTGCTGAAGGCATCACTGCCACCATCAGCAGGAGGTGGCACTGGCAGAAGCTTGTGGTCTCCACCACAGGTCAGTGAGATGGAGCCAGGCATCATCCCTGGATGAGCAGGGCCACGTTCCAGGCAGCTCTCCACAAGAAGACTTTTAAATGAGAAAATCTGGATCTGAGTCTGCCCAGCCCATCAGAAAGTGGCTCAGTGACATCCTGCAAGGATGTGGGTGAGAGTCTGAGGCCTGAAGCCTGTTTGATGCAGTAATCACAGAATCATTCAGGTTGGGAGGGACCTCAAAGATCATCCAGCTCCAACCCCCCTGCCATGAGCAGGGACCCCTCCCACCACACCAGGCTGCACAAAACCTCCTCCAACCTGGCCTTAAAAACCTCCAGGGCTGGGGCATCAACAACCTCTCTGGGCAACCCATCCCAGTTCCTCACCACCCTGAGAGTGAAGAATTTCTTCCTCATATCTCACCTCAATCTCCCCTCTCTCAGTTTAAAACTATCACCCCTTGTCCTGTCACTGTCTTCTCTGATGAAAAGTCCCTCCCCAGCTTTCCTGGAGCCCCTTCAGGCACTGGAAGCTGCTCTAAGGTCTCCCTGGAGCCTTCTCTTCTCCAGGCTGAACACCCCAACTCTCCCAGCCTGTCCCAGAGCTGCTCCAGCCCTGGGATCATCCTCATGGCCCTTCTCTGGGCTCTGCAACAGCTCCATCTCCTGTGCTGAGGGCACCAGAGCTGGACACAGAATTCCATCCAGACTTTCAGGATGTGGTTTCCCCTCTGGGCTCCAGCCCTCACTGGGGGCTCATGTCCAGCTTCTCATTTCCTCCCACCCCCAAGCCCTTCTCCTCAGGGCTGCTCTCCAGCCATTCTCCCCCAGCCTGGATTGGTGTCTGGGCTTGCACCAACCCAGGGGCAGGACCCTGCACTTGGCCTTGTTGATCTCCATGAGGTTGGCACTGGCCACCTCTCCAGCCTGTCCAGCTCCCTCTGGATGGATCCCTTCCCCCTTGGGTCTCAACCACACCACCCAGCTTGGGATCATCAGCAAACCTGCTGATCCCAACCTCAATCCCACTGGCCATGTCTCCAACAAAGATGTCAAACAGCACTGGTCCCAGTACTGACCTAATCTGTGCTGTCTGTGCAGAGATGACACTGGGGGAATAAACCCCTCATCATTCAACTGGAAAATTCCTCTGTCTCCTCCACTTTATCACTATCATGTGATGTCCCTGTGCAGGAGGGGCTGGATGACCCACCCCCCTCCCATCCTG